TGGGTGGTTTTGTGTGTGTGTGTGTGCATAGGTTTATGTAGAGACCAAGAACGGCCAATAAAAATTATTTCCCCCTTTAATATTCTCTAGTTGTGAAAATACTCAATATGAAGCATTGAAAAATGTAATAGAAATGGAATCAAACCTTAGCATCTTAATGAACTAGCAATTGGCGACATTAACCATGTTGGGGTTCAAAAGAAATACAAAATAATTTGATCAGAAACTAGTGATGCAATGAAAAATATTGCAGAATTTAGTCGAATGTATTTTCAGAGAAGGGTGAAATAAAAAGATAATATTACAAACTGCACCTATGTCAAGCCCTGCATTGGATTCCAGTGCTCCATTTCATAAGAGAAAATGATATCTAAAGCAGAGGCTGCACCGAAATCTTGATTGACAGGTAAAATTGATAAACATGCACAGTATCTAAGGACATGTTCATCATGAGAACCCAACATCAACTATGACTCGGATACTACAAGTTAGGACAATAGGCCCTCAATTTGGTGTTGCAACCAGAAACGTAGAGAAGGAAGAGGATTCTTGTTCCTAACATTAATTATCTAGACAAAGATTAGCTACTGCTAGAGTTAAAGTGACCTGGCTGTATTCTAATATTGCCAGGATAGCTGAACGCAATAGAATTGCACTCTGAGAAAGCAACGAAATGAATTGTTGATCTGTAAAAAAACTACAGTTGTGCAGTATACCTATTGGCACTCCGCCAATATATTGATTCAGTCATCGTCCCTATTCATCTCTTACATACCAGAAGTTCCTGACCCCAGGTACCACTACTTGCAATGCTGGAGGAGTACAATTTTCAAAGGAAAGAAAGAGATGAAGAGAAACAAAGACAACGGGTAAGCACCACGACGCATATAAAAAGTTTCCTTTGTTATTTAAAGTTTCACTTTTCTCTGCCTCTATGTACATTATTCAACTTCCAATTTCTTCAACAACAACAAAAGTCTCGATTCCACACTATTGGGGAATTTCCAACCTATACTAACATTCACATAAAAAAAATAGTGAATACCTCAACTTAATCATTACCTCCTTTTACAAGTAATGTTGCTCTTGCAGGAAAAGAAGAAAGCGCCGAATCAGGTGTCAGTTGGACAAGAAAATCTCTTTGTTCTGAGGCCAAGCACCAGCAGCAAGCGTATTTCTGGTGGAAGCATAAATGGAGGCTTCAACAAGGCTACACCTTTGAATAGAAAGTTTTCTTTGGGTATACAACAGCTGGGATCAACGACCATTAACACACCACAACAAAGCATTTATCTGCTAAAGGAAGCAAAGAAAGAACACCATAGAAAGATCCTTACCCATAGTCGCTTTGCTTTTCATCCAGGAGATGATTCAGCTTCGGTAGTCTCATCATTTTCAGGCCCCTTTTCACCTTAGCTTCTGTGTATGGTTAATAATTTTGAATTTATTTGAGTTCACTAACCTGATCAATCTAATAAGTAATTCCTTAGTAGGGAGGCAAATTCATGCAAAGGGGTAATTTACATTGTCAAGGCTTTCTGCAATTTATTAAAAAGGACACTAATAGACAGCTGGGAAAGTTTGTTGCGGAGTATCTGAAAATAAAAACCCATATAGAGTGTCTTGTCCCCTTGTTACAAGCATCAATACATTCACTCCCTCTTTTGTGCTCTAAGGCTACTTTGTTGACCGGTTTTTATAAATGTATACACACACACACACACATAAAAGCGCATAAAGATGATCTTACACAATACACATCATGCAAGGGGGATGCTGCAGTTTGGTTTGGTCACCCATGGGATCTTTTTGGAAAGATCACAAAAGCCTGAATCTTATAATCAGCAGCATAAGTTTAATGAACAACCTGCATTCTTTTGGAGATCTTATTTGAACATGTAAGAGCATAATAAGGTAAAACCTTCATCGGTTAATGATTGACGAAGTGGAGTCCACGTGAACTATTCATGAAATTTACAACATTTTCACCGGTATTAGGAAGGCTTAATTAAGGCAAACAACTGTTCTATGCAAATGGATTAAACTGTCACCAAGTTTAGTATTCATTCATCAAATCAGTAAGCCACTAATGCAATGGTGGCTATAGGCTTTCTTTTACAGTCTGATAGGTAGAGCAAGCCATGGTCAAGTGCAAGATAGGGGGAAAAAACACAACTAAGGTGAAACAGATTTGGCAGAATTGAGTCAAAATATCTGGGGGAGGCATTGTTGAATGAATTGACGGGATACATAAACATCTTAAAGTTCTGGCATGAACCTACATTATACAAGGATTTAACACTACTTAACAAATCTCAGAAATAATAACCTGTGGATGACTCGTGTATGGATTATGAATCAATGAAGGTGCACTATAATGATAAAATCAAATCAAAACATATATGCAATGCCTTCTGTCCTCGCCATGTCAATTCTATTCATACATAGCTCACACCCAAGGTTACAAATTAGTACCAATAGATACAGCAATACTCCTCAATAACAAATGTCTGGAAATCATAGATCCTCCCTGGCAACACATAATCATAATAATTAGTCCAGGAAAATAAAAACTTCTTTTCAAATTATAATCATAAGCTCTACTCGGAGATGTGAACAGCGAGTTTTAGGTGGACTTCTGAAAGAATGCCTCGATTCGTCGTGTTCCAGAAGGAAGCGGCTTCTCTGTTGATAATCGAGGACGATTTTGAACCTTAGGAGAAGGATCAGACGGCTGTGAAGGCACGGGAAGCGAGTCGAGAAGGAAATCGTTCGTAGGTTGATGCCTTTTCACAGCAACTCTTAAATGCTCGAGCTTTATGGTTTTTCTCTTCTTTTCTAAGGCGACTTGCGCTGACTTTTCCGTTAGGACTTCGAGGAAAAGCTCGGTGGAGCTAGCGATTAGATGTAGGGCTTCTGAGTTCACCTTGTTGATGTCCTGATCCAGTTTCATGATTTTCTTCACTCGGCCTAACGGGATCTGGAGTTGGTGGACTTCTCCGCCGGCTGCGGTGGAATTCTTTCCTTCATCTTCTCCGGCCATTGAGCACTCTGATTGTCGAAGAGGACTAAACTACAAAATTGGTATTTAGGGCTTCTGGGTTTGGCGGGAATTAGTTTTGGCTTTCGCGCCAAAAGGTCGGTTTCTCACTTTGGTGTTTGGAAAATTCAGTAAATTCCATTTTGGTTCCCTAATGTTCTGAGTTTTACTTTTGTTGCCTTAAATTTTTTTTATTTTTTATTTTTTTAGTAATTAAGGGCTTAAATTTTTATTTATCTCAAGTTTGCATTCTTGTTAATGTTTCAGAGTAGGGTGTTCAAGATAAAAATGGAATCTATCACTCGAAATCACAAAGCTATGTTATCGACTTCCGATTAGCGGTGTTCAAATCGAACCGGAAAATTGTACTAAATTAAAAAGTCAAACCAAATCGATTAAAATATCAGATTATGTTTGGTTTTATTTGGTTTCGTATTGAATAAAAAATCTGAACCAAACCGACATATAAATATATAATTTTTATATATACTTTTAACACTTTATATACAAAAATATTAAAAATATATAGAAATAGTTGGGATCTTCTCATGGGATGTAATATTTAATAGAACTATGAAGTGCATTCATTTTTATTTACTTCAAATAATGGGTTGTAATATTTTCTTATCAAGTGTTATTGAAATGTGTCAATCATCTCTTTGTTCTTTCATATTCATATGTCAAAATTTCTTATATTTTTTTCGAATTTGAAGTGATATTTCTATAATTTAAACTTAAATGGAGTAGAACATATCACTATTAAGGTATCATATTATTTTTATGTTTAATTATAAAATTCGGTTAATCTTGAAAGCGTACATTAATAGAAAATCATTGTTAGACGAGCAATAGCTTGTTTGGATGAGTGTTACCTATTGTATTGTATTGTGTTGTCACATTAAATACAATATTTATTTTGATTGTACTTAAATTTATTGTATCGTATGTTATGTAACGATGAAATGTGTCACTTTATGGAATGACCGATTAAGTGTGGCCGCGTCGTTACCTTACTTTTCCCTCATCTTGCCCTTTTTATTATTAAATAATCTTATTTTATCATTTACCCTATCTTTTCATATAATATTCTACCTCGTACCTTACTTTTTCTTTATAATATTTCAAGTTTATTCTTCATGTTGTTCGTGCATGACATCATGAAACGACTGCAAACAATACAATCTATTCAAACATTGTGCACATCAAAATGATACAATATAGTATAATACAATACTATACGATACATTATGAAACGATACATTACAACCATCCAAACAAGTTGTAACCGTAAGTAAATAACTATCATGTGTTACTAATAAATTCTCCCATAGAAGATTTTAATAGATCATATGTTTGTCAATTTTTTCGACTTTTAGTAAACATATATTCACTTATCAAAACTTTATCTATTAATTTAACAAAGTAAGGCTGAAATAATATTCATGTAACAATATCAGGATTAAAATCGCGGTACAACTAACTTATCCCGTGATTATAGTGTTATTTTTGTATCACCTTTGGTTGTAGTGGAAAATAATTTTATCCCACCTTTGGTTGGATAAAATTACGGCACAACTAATCATGTGATTAGTTATCTCGAAATTGTAGTGTTATTGTTATCCCTATAGGAGGATGGGATAACAATTCATGATAATTAGTTTCGGGATAATTAATCTTGAGATAACTTGTAGTGGAATAATTTTGTCCCGCCTTTGGTTGGGATAAAATCGCGGTACAATAAATCCCGAGATTAGTTATTGTGGGATTGTAGTATTATTTTTATCCCTATAGGAGGATGTGATGACCCGATAGGTCATTTTGAGTTTTAGCCTTTATTTTAGTGTTTCGAGACCTCGATTAGCTCCGTTTAGCATTCCCCAATTTGCGTGCGCAATCCTGTGACGCCCCGCAATATTACGTCGATATGACGTCCCACAGTATTATATTACGATGATGTTACGCTTCGCAGTATTAAATTACGACGATGTTGCACCCTTTAGTATTGTACGTTGAATTTGTCGTAAGGTAATTGACATTAGTCCAAGGAAAAAGATTATTTGGAGATGGATTATATTATTTTAAACAAATGATGAGTAAATTCGTGATGGTGAGAGGGGAAGCAAGTCAAAGAAAATGAATTTTTCGTCCAAGTTTGGCATATTGGGATAAAATACGGGTCGAGCATTAATACCGGCTATTTATAGACTAGTGCCATATAAGGTACTATATGACCATGGTAGTAAGGTGTACAATGTACGTTAAAAGCGAGTAGTATTTTAAGTAAGTTGAGATAATTCTTAATTATACGGGTAATTAATTAATTACCGGATAACATGACATTAACTATTTAATTGGGAATATATTGGATAAGCGTTAAATAGCATGATGTGGCACCCACCCAATTCTAATTAATGACTCATTAGTTATTACTATAAGGTGTCACATTTGAAGGAATCTTGGGTCTTAATCACTATGTAAATGGGGCCACAAAACTTAATTGTGAAAGGATTTAATATGTCTTCAAAGAAGACACTTACGGATGGGGAAAATTTAAAACATAATTCTTTGGATTCTTTCACAAAGTGAGATAAAGTAAAGTTAGTTTTCTTCTTCAAGTTCATGCAAGGACATGTATATACATGTCACGTAAGTTCTTCAGTAAAAATAAAATTTATACGATACTACGTAATATTATAGCAACGAGATTTTGCGATTCTAAAAAAGTACGGTGTAATCCTTCGCAAGAATGTCATATAAATTTTTCCCTACTCTGATCTCGCCGTTACGTGATTTGTTGCAATTGACGTATATTAGAGGGATTGTCAAGAGAATCGGCTCAGGTATATTAAGAAGCCCTTCTTTATTTTGGCATGATCCATACGATACGAACGAAACGAGCAAATACACAATTTCCATTAATGGCTCTATTCATAGAAATATTAGAGATGCTTATATTCTTGATTCCCCATGTGTCATATTATTCTATCATCTGTTCATGTGTCTCAGAAAATACGTAATGATAAAGTTTAATTTAAGGTATTATTTAAAGGCAAAATGATCTTATGACACTCCGAAAGATTTTATTGACGTACTTCTCATGCATTGCATTCATGTACATTTACCCATAACCAGATGACGTTATATACGCGTATATATGTATATTATATGTATATGGAATATGGAAAAAAGGTTATGACGTTAGATACGCACCACCACCTAATCAGCTGATATACGTTGATGGTTTGCCTACATTGGTGGAGATGATATGATGGAATGCCCTCAGAGGCTTGATGATGTTATGAACGCATATACTCATGCATGGTATGACATTTATACGCATATGCACGATATTATAATATTAAATAATTCACATAGTTATTCAAATATACATGTTAAATCTTTTACTCCATGTTTCTCTCATGTCTACTAGTTACTGATTTTCATTCCTTACATACTCAGTACATTATTTGTACTTGTCACGACCCAAATTCCACTAAGGGTCGTGATGGCGTCGGACACTGCTGTCAGGCAAGCCAACCAAAATACTTAATTAAATTCTCGTTTTGATAATTTTGAAAACTATGATTTTCCTTCAATTTCACTAGTAAAAGATAATCATTTCAAATCAAATATGA